ATTTGGGGGTGCAGGGGTGTGGGAATTTGGGGATGTGGGGATTTGGAGATGTGGGAATTTGGGAATTCAGGGGTGTGGGAATTTGGGGATGTGGGGATTTGGAGATGTGGGAATTTGGGAATTCAGGGGTGTGGGAATTTGGGGATGTGGGGATGTGGGAATTCGGGGATGTGGGGATTTGGGGTGTGGGAATTCAGGAGTGTGGGGATTTGGGGTGTGGGAATTTGGGGATGCAGGAATTCAGGGGCGTGGGATGCAGGGATGTGGAATTTGGGGATGCAGGAATTCAGGGGCGTGGGATGCAGGGATGTGGAATTTGGGAGTTCAGTGGGGATGCAGGAATTCAGGGGCGTGGGATGCAGGGATGTGGAATTTGGGGATGCAGGAATTCAGGGGCGTGGGATGCAGGGATGTGGAATTTGGGGATGCAGGAATTCAGGGGCGTGGGATGCAGGGATGTGGAATTTGGGGATGCAGGAATTCAGGGGCGTGGGATGCAGGGATGTGGAATTTGGGGATGCAGGAATTCAGGGGCGTGGGATGCAGGGATGTGGAATTTGGGGATGCAGGAATTCAGGGGCGTGGGATGCAGGGATGTGGAATTTGGGGATGCAGGAATTCAGGGGCGTGGGATGCAGGGATGTGGAATTTGGGGATGCAGGAATTCAGGGGCGTGGGATGCAGGGATGTGGAATTTGGGGATGCAGGAATTCAGGGGCGTGGGATGCAGGGATGTGGAATTTGGGGATGCAGGAATTCAGGGGCGTGGGATGCAGGGATGTGGAATTTGGGGATGCAGGAATTCAGGGGCGTGGGATGCAGGGATGTGGAATTTGGGGATGCAGGAATTCAGGGGCGTGGGATGCAGGGATGTGGAATTTGGGGATGCAGGAATTCAGGGGCGTGGGATGCAGGGATGTGGAATTTGGGGATGCAGGAATTCAGGGGCGTGGGATGCAGGGATGTGGAATTTGGGGATGCAGGAATTCAGGGGCGTGGGATGCAGGGATGTGGAATTTGGGGATGCAGGAATTCAGGGGCGTGGGATGCAGGGATGTGGAATTTGGGGATGCAGGAATTCAGGGGCGTGGGATGCAGGGATGTGGAATTTGGGGATGCAGGAATTCAGGGGCGTGGGATGCAGGGATGTGGAATTTGGGGATGCAGGAATTCAGGGGCGTGGGATGCAGGGATGTGGAATTTGGGGATGCAGGAATTCAGGGGCGTGGGATGCAGGGATGTGGAATTTGGGGATGCAGGAATTCAGGGGCGTGGGATGCAGGGATGTGGAATTTGGGGATGCAGGAATTCAGGGGCGTGGGATGCAGGGATGTGGAATTTGGGGATGCAGGAATTCAGGGGCGTGGGATGCAGGGATGTGGAATTTGGGGATGCAGGAATTCAGGGGCGTGGGATGCAGGGATGTGGAATTTGGGGATGCAGGAATTCAGGGGCGTGGGATGCAGGGATGTGGAATTTGGGAGTTCAGGGGTGGGGCATGCAGGATTTGGGAATTTGGGGATCGAGGATGTGGGAATGCAGGGATGCAGGATTTTGGGAATGCAGGGGTACACGGGGATGCAGGGGTGTGGAATTGGAGGATGCAGGGGTGCAGAATTCGGGGTGCAGGGGTGTGGAATTGGGGGTGCAGGGATGTGGAATTGGGGGTGCAGGGTATGGAATTCGGGGTGCAGGGGTGTGGAATTGGGGGGTGCATGGCTGCAGACCCCCACCCCAGCCCGCCTTGCCTCGGCAGTCGCGCTCGCTGAGCCCCTCGCCCTCCTGGAGCTGCGGCCCCTCGCACTCGGCCCCCGCCAGCCTGGGCGAGCGCGGCTTCTTCGCCGTGGCCCCGCCGGCGCTCGGTGCGTGCCGGGGGCATCCTGGGGGGGTGGGCTGGGGGTCCCAGCCGTGCGCTGACCCCTCTGCCCCCTCGCCAGGGCTGTCGCGCGGTCCCAGCCCCGTGGTGCTGGGCTCGCAGGACGCGCTGCCCGTGGCCACCGCCTTCACCGAGTACGTCCACGCTTATTTCAAGGGGCGCGACGCCGACAGGTACGGGGTGGAGGTCCTGGGGGGTCCCCACAGCCGCCGGGCGTCCCCTGACCCCCGGCGTGTCCCCAGCAGCTGCCTGGTGAAGGTGACCGGGGAGCTGACCATGTCCTTCCCCGCGGGCATCGTGCGGGTGTTCGGCGGCCCCGCGGCGCCGCCCGTGCTCAGCTTCCGCCTGCTCAACGCCGCCGCCATCGAGCAGTTCCTGCCCAACGCCGAGCTGCTCTACAGGTGCGGGGCACCGGGGACACCGGGGCACCGGGGGGACAGCCTGCGAGGTGCGGGGGGCAGCGGTGGGGGGCTGGTGTTGGGGTACAGGGGGTGGTTGTGGGGTACGGGGAGCTTGGGAGGTGATGGATGTGGGGATGGGGGTGGGTTTTGGGGTGCAGGAGAGACACGGGGAGCTTGGGAGGTGATGGATGTGGGGATGGGGGTGGGTTTTGGGGTGCAGGAGAGACACGGGGAGCTTGGGAGGTGATGGATGTGGGGATGGGGGTGGGTTTTGGGGTGCAGGAGAGACACGGGGAGCTTGGGAGGTGATGGATGTGGGGATGGGGGTGGGTTTTGGGGTGCAGGAGAGACACGGGGAGCTTGGGAGGTGATGGATGTGGGGATGGGGGTGGGTTTTGGGGTGCAGGAGAGACACGGGGAGCTTGGGAGGTGATGGATGTGGGGATGGGGGTGGGTTTTGGGGTGCAGGAGAGACACGGGGAGCTTGGGAGGTGATGGATGTGGGGATGGGGGTGGGTTTTGGGGTGCAGGAGAGACACGGGGAGCTTGGGAGGTGATGGATGTGGGGATGGGGGTGGGTTTTGGGGTGCAGGAGAGACACGGGGAGCTTGGGAGGTGATGGATGTGGGGATGGGGGTGGGTTTTGGGGTGCAGGAGAGACACGGGGAGCTTGGGAGGTGATGGATGTGGGGATGGGGGTGGGTTTTGGGGTGCAGGAGAGACACGGGGAGCTTGGGAGGTGATGGATGTGGGGATGGGGGTGGGTTTTGGGGTGCAGGAGAGACACGGGGAGCTTGGGAGGTGATGGATGTGGGGATGGGGGTGGGTTTTGGGGTGCAGGAGAGACACGGGGAGCTTGGGAGGTGATGGATGTGGGGATGGGGGTGGGTTTTGGGGTACGGAGTGCCCCAGTTTTCCTGGGGATACCCTCAGGAGCTGAGGGATGCAGCGATGGGGAGCTGGGTACTGAGATTTTGGGGTTTTTGGGTGTCTGGGCATGCAGTGATGGGGAGCTGGGCATTGAGATTTTGAGGTTTTTGGGTGTCTGGGCATATGTGGGGATGGGGGTGGGTTTTGGGGTACGGAGTGCCCCAGTTTTCCTGGGGATACCCTCAGGAGCTGAGGGATGCAGCGATGGGGAGCTGGGTACTGAGATTTTGGGGTTTTTGGGTGTCTGGGCATGCAGTGATGGGGAGCTGGGCATTGAGATTTTGAGGTTTTTGGGTGTCTGGGCATGCAGTGATGGGGAGCTGGGCATTGAGATTTTGGGATTCTTGGGGGCATGCCAGCGATGAGCTGCGTTTTGGGGATCCCAGCGGTCTGGGCACCCTCTGGAGCTGGTTTGGAGCTGGCTACCGAGGTGCCAGCTTCTGGGGGTACCCAGACCCCGCTGCCCCTCTCCCCCCACGCCCCCAGCGACCCCTCCCAGAGCGACCCCAGCACCAAGGACTTCTGGCTGAACATGGCAGCGCTGACCGGGCACCTGCAGAAGCAGGCGGAGCAGAGCCCGGCCGCCTCCTACTACAACGTGCCTCTGCTCAAGTACCAGGTGAGCCCTGCAGGGCATCCCCCCGCTGGTCACGAGAGGGTCTCGGTGCCCCCCTAAAGCCCCCGATGTGCCGCAGTTCTCGCGGCTGGGCCCCGGCTCGGCGCCGCTGCGGCTCTGCGTGCGCTGGGACTGCGCGCCCGGCGCCACGCGGGTCAGCGTGGAGTACGGCTACAACGCGGCCGCCCTGGCACTGCCCGTGCCCCTCGGCAACGTGCACGTCCTGCTGCCCGTGGAGGAGCCCCTGACCAACCTGCGGCTGCAGCCCGCCGCCAGCTGGTAACGGGAACGGGAGAGAGCGGGGCGGGTGGGGGGGACACAGGACTGGGGGTCCCAAACTTGCCCAAGATGGGGAGCACAGGAGTGGGGTCCTGAATCTCCTCAGGGTGGGAGAAGGAGACCCTGAACTCAGAAATGGGGATCCTGAACTGGGAAATGGGGACCCTGGACTGGGAAATGGGGACACTGACGGGGTAAGGAAGGCAGGATGTGGGGACGGGTAGCAAGGGCTGAATTTTGGGGGTGTGGGGGCTTGATGACACCCCCTTATCCCGGCAGGAACCTGGAGGAGAAGCGGCTGCTCTGGAAGCTCCTGGACGTCCCCGGTGCCCCGGGGCAGGGAGGTGAGGCCGGGCCCGCCCTGCTCGGGGGTCACGGGGCGGGGGCTCCGCGTCCCGACCCCCCCAACCCCTGCGCTGTCCCCCCCAGGCTGTGGGCGGCTCTCGGCCAGCTGGGAGCCGCTGGGGGGTCCCAGTAAGCCCAGTCCCGTGGCCGCCCAGTTCAGCAGCGAGGGCAGCACCTTGTCGGGAGTGGAGGTGGAGCTGGCGGGCGCCGGGTACCGCATGTCGCTGGTCAAGAAGAGGTTTGCTACAGGTACGTCCCGGGGGGGGGACGGGGACGGGGCTGGGGGGTCCCTTCCTCACAGCCCTGGGGGGTGCGGGGTTCTCTCCCCGTCCCCTGGGTCCTGGGGGAACAGGGGGTCCCTTCCTTGGGGTGCACGGGGTCCTTTCTCTGCTCTTTGGGGTGCTTGGCGTCCCTTCCTTGGGGTATTTAGGGTTCTTTCCCTGCACTTTGAGGTGCTCAGGGGTTCCTTTTCTGCTCTGTGGGGTTCATGGGGTCCTTTCCCTGCTTTTTGGGGTGCTCAGGGTCCCTTCCCTGGGGTATTTAGGGTCCTTTCCCTGTTCTTTGGGGTGCTTGATGTCCTTTCCCTGCTCTTTGGGGTGCTCAGGGTTCTCTTTTTTGCTCTTTGGGGTTCATGGGGTCCTTTTCCTGCTCTTTGGGATGGTCAAGGTCCCTTCCCTTGGGTATTTAGGGTCCTTTTCCTGCTCTGTTGGGTTCATGGGGTCCTTTCAGTGCTCTTTGGGGTGCACAGCGGTTCCTTTTCTGCTCTGTGGGGTTCATGGGATCTGTTTCCTGATCCTTGAGGTGCTCGGGGTCCCTTCCCTGGGGTATTTAGGGTCCTTTCCTAGGTTCCTTTTCTGCTCTTTGGGGTTCATGGGGTCCTTTCCCTGCTCTTTGGGGTGCTCGGGGGTTCCTTTGGGGTTCATGGGGTCATTTCCCTGCTCTTTGGGGTGCCCGAGGTCACCAGTTCGGTGTGGCACCGAGCTCCGCCGCCGGGCCGTGCCCGTGCCCGGCCGGGGCCGTGCCCTCCCTCCTCTGTGCCCACCTTTCCCCCGCAGGGATTTACCTGGCGGGGTCCTGAGCGGCTCCCGGGCCCCCCCGGGCCCCCCCGGGCTTCTCCCGCGGTTGTGTGAATTGGAAACACTGGATGGAGGCGGGCTGGGGAGGGGGCGCCTCCTCCTCCTCCTCCTCCTCCTCCTCCTCTTCCTCCTCCTCCTCCTCCTGTCCCCGCCCTGTCGCTGTCCCCGCGTCGCCTCCTGCTCCCCCCCGCCGCCCTCCCCTGTGCTGTGAAGGGAGCAGGAGCTGCTCTTTTATTAAACACTTTATTTTCTAATAAATTCCCCCCCGACGGCTGCTGCCTCCTTCCTGCCACGGCGCCAATCCCATAAATCCCATATTCCCTTAAATCCCATAAATCCCATATTCCCATAAATCCCATAAATCCTGTATTCCCATAAATCCCATATTCCCATATTTCCATATTCCCATATATCCCATATTCCCATATTTCCATATTCCCATAAATCCCATATTCCCATGTTCCCATAAATCCCATATTCCCATAAATCCCATATTCCCATAAATCCCATATGCCCATAAATCCCATAAATCCCATATTCCCATGTTCCCATAAATCCCATATTCCCACATTCCCATCCCAATTCTGCCATGGAGGGGGAGCGCAAGGAAAAAAGAGGGAAAAGCCGAAGGGATGGGAGGGGGGCTGTGATGTGGGAAAGGGGGGCTGGGGGCTGTGTCCCCCCTCAGTGCCCCCTCAAAGCACAGGGAAGCATCACCACGGGCTGGGGGTCCCGGTGCCACTCTGGGGGGGCGCTACCCCCGAGTTTTGCTCCGCCCATCCCGCAGCGCCTCGATTTTGGGGGACAGCTCCCCAAAAGTGGGTCTGGCTCCCGGGGTGAAGGCCCAGCAGCTCATCATCAGCGCGTACACCTGTGGGGGGGACAAGGGACACGGCGGGGCCATCAGGGGAGGAGGGGCACCCCGGGGACCCCCCGGCAGCCCCGGGGCAGCGGTGTCACCTCCGAGGGACAGCCAGCGGGGGCCGGGAGTCGCCGGTTGTCCTTGAGGAGCTCCAGCAGGTGGCAGATGATCTGCGGCGGCCTCGCGGTGCCCATCATCCGCAGGAATTCCTGCGGGCACGGGGGACAGCCTTGAGCACCGGGACACCCGGGAGCGCCGGGACACCCGGGAGTGCCGGGACACCCGGGAGTGCCGGGACACCCGGGAGCTCTGGGACACCCGGGAGCTCTGGGACAGCCGTGAGCACGGGGACACCTGGGAGTGTCGGGACACCCGGGAGCAGCGGGACACCAGGGAACTCTGGGACACCCGGGAGCACCGGGACATCTGTGAGCACCGGGACACCCGGGAGCACCAGGACACCCAGAAGTGCCGGGACACCCGGGAGCTCTGGGACACCAGTGAACTCGGGGGCCGGGAGTCGCCGGTTGTCCTTGAGGAGCTCCAGCAGGTGGCAGATGATCTGCGGCGGCCTCGCGGTGCCCATCATCCGCAGGAATTCCTGCGGGCACGGGGGACAGCCTTGAGCACCGGGACACCCGGGAGCGCCGGGACACCCGGGAGCACCGGGACACCCGGGAGCTCTGGGACACCTGGGAGCATCGGGACACCCGGGAGCATCGGGACATCCGTGAGCTCCAGGACACCCAGAAGTGCCGGGACACCCGGGAGCTCTGGGACACCAGGGAACTCTGGGACACCCGGGAGCACCGGGATATCGGGGAGCTCCGGCACTACCGGGAGCACAGGGACACCCAGGAGCACCGGGACACCAGCGAGCATGGGGACTTCCATGAGCTCTGGCAGAGCCGGGAGCACTGGGATATCCAGGAGTGCCAGGACATCCGTGAGCTCCAGGACACCCAGGAGCACCTGGACACCCATCAGCTCCAGGAGCTCCTGTAAGCTCTGGGACACCTGGGAACACCGGGACATCCAGGAGCACTGGGACATCCATGAGCTCCGGGACACCCGGGAGCACCGTGAGGGCTGCGGGGGGCTGGTCCCAGAGGGAATGGCCCCTCCTTTCCAGGGAAACGTCACCTCCGAGGGGCTCTTGCTCTTGGAGCTGTAGGTGAAGAGCTCGTAGAGGAGCACCCCGAAGCTCCAGGTGTCGGAGGCGCAGGAGAAGATGTTGTCAGCCAGGGATTCCGGAGCGTACCTGCCCCGGGAAAAATGGGTTCTGAGCCCCGGGAAAAGGGGATCCTGAGCTCCAGGAAAAGGGGATCCTGAGCCCTGGGAAAAACGGGTTCTGAGCCCCGGGAAAAGGGGATCCTGGGCCCTGGGAAAAGCAGGTTCTAAGCTCCGGGAAAAGGGGTTTCTGAGCCCCAGGAAAAGTGGGTTCTGAGCCCCGGGAAAAGGGGATCCTGAGCCCCGGGAAAAACAGGTTCTGAGCCCCTGGAAAAGGGGATCCTGAACCCCAGGAAAAGGGGACCCTGAGTCCCCAGAAAAGTGGGTTTTGAGCTCCAGGAAAAGGGGATCCTAAGTCCTGGGAAAAACAGATTCTGAGCCCCTGGAAAAGGGGATCCTGAGTCCTGGATCCCACTGGAATTCCAGCCCTCCCTGTGTGCCCCCCTCACCAGAAAACGGGGCTCTGGCCAGGCTCCCGCACCACGTAGTAATCCTTGTCCTGCGGGAGCAGCTTGGCCAGCCCGAAGTCGCCGATCTTGACGTGGCTGTCGCTCTCCACCAGGATGTTCCTGCTGGCCAGGTCCCGGTGCACGCAGCGCTGCGCCCCCAGGTACTCCATGCCCTGCCGGGAGGCGGCTGCTGGAGGGGAGCGGGGACACGGCAGCGTCCCCAGGGCTGGGGAACCCCCGGGAGAGGGTTCCTGGGGGCTCATCCCGGCTGGAGCACAGCCCCAGGGGTGAGGGTGGCACTGCTCCAGCTGGGATGCAGCTGCTGGCAGGGACAGGATCCTGCAGCGTCCCCAGGGCTGGACAATGACCCTTGGGTGACCCGTGGCATTGCTCCGGCCAGGACAGAGCCGCTGGCAGGGACAGGACCCAGGGCTGGCCCACGACCCGTGGCTGACCCATGGCATGGCTCCAGCCCCATCCCGGGACAGCAGCAGCCCCGTTTCCCCCGTGCCTGCCCCGACCCCACCTTGCAGATCTGCCAGGCGTAGAGGAGCAGCGTCCTGTGCTCCAGGCGGGGCTGGTTCTTCTGCAGGAAATCCCGCAGGCAGCCGTTGGGCAGGAATTCCATCACCAGCCGCAGCCCGCGCATCCCTGCGGCCACATCCAGCACCGGGATGGCCGGAGTCGGGATCGGGGATCCCTGCCCCGTTCCCTGCCCCGTTCCCTGTCCCGTTCCCAGCCCCGTTCGCAGTGTTCACAGCCCCATTTCCTGTCTATTCCCTGTCCATTCTCTGCCCCTTTCCCAGCCCCATTCCAGGCTCCATTCCCAGCCCCATTCCTTTCCCATTCCCAGCCCCATTCCTGCCCCATTCCCTGTTCATTCCCAGCCCATTCCCAGCCCCATTCCTGCCCCATTCCCAGCCCATTCCCAGACCCATTCCTGCCCCATTCCCTGCTCATTCCCAGCCCCATTCCCAGCTCCATTCCTGTCCCATTCCCAGCTCACCCCGGCTGTAGCAAACGCCCCGGTACCGGACGATGAAGTCGTGCTGCAGTGAGTGCAGGATTTGGATCTCCCGCTCGAAATCCCGAATTTCCTTGGCCGAATCCTGCTGCAGCTTCTTCACTGCCACCAGCTCACCCGTGCTGTCCCCCAGGGGGTCGTAGCGGCACAGCTCCACGCTCCCAAAATTCCCCTGGATGCAGGGAACTGGATGTTGGGGTGCCCCCCAATTCCCAGTGCCACATCCCCCCAAAATCCCCCCCCCACACAGAAGGGGATGCTCAGAAATTGTTTCTCAGCACAGCCAGAATGTCCCACACTCCAAATCCAGGAGGGAAGAGCAGCTGAGCTGAGTTTTGGGGTTCGGGGTCTCTCCTGGAATTGTTTCTCAGCACAGCCAGGATGTCCCACACTCCAAACCCGGGAAGGAAGGAAAGAGTGGCTGCACTGAGTTTTGGGGTCTCTCCTGCGCCCCCACCTTGCCCAGCAGCGAGATGTACTTGAGGTGCCGCTCCTGGAAGTGCTCTGGATCCTGGCTCATGGCCAGGGAATCGCGTCCCCAAAAGCCATCCCGCAACGTCACATCCGCGGGGGACAGGTCCGAGAGCAGCTCGTAGTCTGTGGGAGGGGGGGGTGAGGCCAAGGTGGGGTGCCCCGGTGCCCCCCCAGCCCGTTGCCGTGCCCACCGGAGGTGATGAGGCTGTTGAGGTCGCGGATGAGGGCGCGGAAGCAGGGCCGGCGCGGGGGCTCGTACTCCATGCACTGCGCCACCAGCGCCGCCAGCTCCGGCCAGCGCGGAGCCGGGAGCTGCTGGCGGCTCCGGTAGAATTCCAGCTTCTGAGGGAGAGGGGGAGAGGGGAGTCAGGGGGTGCGGGACCCCCAAAGAGCCCCTGAACGGCTCTGAGATGGGGGAGGGTGCAGCGGGATGGGGCAGGAGAGGTGGGGGATGGGATGGGATTTATAGGATGGGATGAGAATATGGGATAGGATGGGATGAGAATATGGGATAGGATGGGATGAGAATATGGGATAGGATGGGATGAGATGGGATTTGTGGGATGGGATGGGATGGAATTTATGGGATGGGATGGGAATACGGGATGGGATTTATGGGATGGGATTTCTGGGATGGGATTTCTGGGGTGGGATGGGATGGGATTGGGCAGGGAAGAAGGGCTGGGATGTAGCAGGAAGGGACAGGAGAGCTGGGGAAGGAGGATTTGGATACAGTGGGATTGCAGGCCAAGGGTTGGGATAGAACGGGATGGGGCAGGAGGGGCAGGATGGGACAGGAGGGTTGGGATAGAACGGGATGGGGCAGGAGGGTCGGGATCCAGCGGGATGCTGGGATCAGCCTCGCCTTTTGGGGCTCCAGCAGGCTCAGGGGCATGTTCCCCCCGCTGAAGATCTCCCAGAGGGTGGCTCCGAAGCCCCACTTGTCAGCTGGCAGTGCCAGGCTCCCGGGGTCGCTGACACACTCGGGGGCCACCCATGGGATCCTCTCCACCAGCACTGCGGGGTGCCCAGCCCCCCTCAGCACCCACTGTGGGGGCCCAGCACCCCCAGGACCCCCCAGGACACCCCAGGACCCCCTCACTCACTGTCCCGGGCCAGGAGGGTGATGCTGACCCCAGGGTGGGTGAGTTTGATGAAAAGGATTCAGAGCCCACAGACAGGAGCTGGCTTGGAGGATGAGCACAGGACCCCAAACCCAGAACCAGGACCCCAAACCCAGAACCAGGACCTTGAATCCAGAACCAGGACCCCAAACCCAGAACCAAACCCCAAAACCAGAACCAGAACCCCAAACCCAGAATCTGAACCCAGAATCCAGAAGCAGGACCCCAAACCCAGAACCAAGACCCCAAACCCAGAACCAGGACACTAAACCCAAAATCCGAACCCAGAACCAGGACCCCAAACCCAGAACCAGAGCCCCAAATCCAGAACCAGAACCCAAACCCAGAACCACGACCCCAAACCCAGAACCAGGACCCCAAACACAGCACCAGGACCCCAAACCCAGACCTGGGATCCAGAGCCCACAACCAGGATTCCCCATGGAGGATGAGCACAGGACCCTGAACCCAAAGTCAGAACCCCAAGGCCAGCACCCCAGGACCCCCCAGCACCCCAGGACCCCCCAGAACCCCCGGACTCACTGTCCTGGGCCAGGACGGTGACGCTGACCCCGGGGTCATTGAGTTTGATGAAGGGGGGGCTCCCCCCAGCCATGTCCCCCTCCCGTGCCAGCAGCACCTTCTTAGCAGAGACGTTCCCATGCGGGATCTTCTTGTCCTCCTGCATGGGGGGAGAGGGGTCGGGACCCTCAGGGTGGTCCCACACACTGGGGTGGGCTGGGGGGAGCACCAGGGATGGATGGGGGCTGTGGGGTGGGGGTGGATTAGGGGCTGTGGGGTGGGGATCAATGGTATCCATTGGATGTGGGGTGTGGGAGTTGTGGGATGGGGGAACCAGGACCCTGAACCAGGACCCGAAACCCAGACCTGGGATCCAGAGCCCACAGCAAGGATTCCCTATGGAGGATGAGCACAGGACCCCAAACCCAGGACTAAGACCCCAAACCCAGAACCAGGACCTCAAACCCAGAACCAGGACCTCAAACCCAGAACCAGGACACGAAATCAAGAACCAGGACCCTGAACCCAGAACCAGGACCCCAAACCTAGAACCAGGACACCAAATCAAGAACCAGGACCCTGAACCCAGAACCAGGACCCCAAACCCAGAACCAGGACCCCAAACCCAGAACCAAGACCCCAAACCCAGAAACAAGACCCCGAACCCAGAGCCAGGACCCCAAACCCAGAACCAAGACCCCAAACCCAGACCTGGGATCCAGAGCCCACAGCCAGGATTCCCTGTGGAGGATGAGCACAGGACCCCACACCCAGAGCCAGAACCCCAAGGCCAGCACCCCCAGGACCCCCGGGACCCCCTCCCAGCGGCGTGGGCTCACCAGGTAGTTGAGGGCATAGGCCAGCTGCTTGGCCACCGTCAGCCTCCAGCCGGTGGTCACCGCGCCGCGCTTCTTGCGCAGGTACAGGTCCAGGGGCCCGTGCCGGACGTGCTCCTGCACCATCACACCTGGGGGCCGCCCGGGGGGGTCAGGGGGTGCCCAGGTGGCACCGCGGCCGCCGCCCCGCCGGGCACTCACTGTCCTTGCCGAGGCTGACGCCGTGCAGCAGCACCAGGTGTTTGTGGGACAGCTGGCTCATGGTGCTGGCGGCCTCCAGGAAGGACTGGGACAGGGACAGACGGCTCAGGGCGGGCCTTAGGGACCCCTAGGTGACATGGTGGAGGTGGCAGCGCCACCCCCTCACCTCCAGGCAGTTGCGGTGGCTGCCGTCCATGACCTTGAGCACCACCGGGGTCTGGCGGGCTCCGTCCTCCTCGTCCTGCTCCCGTTTGACGCCTTTGTAGATCTGGGTGAAGGAGCCCTGGCCCAGGCTCTCGCCCTGGGGGACACGGGGACACTGCCAGGGGGTGCCTGTCCCCCTGTGTCACCCCCCCGTGGCCCTGCCCCGTACCCGTGTCAGGCTCTGCGGGTCGATCTTGTGGAACATCATCTGGTGCAGGCTGCGGCGCCGGGGCACCGGAGGGGACCCGGGGGGACAGGGGATCCCGCTGCGCACGATCAGCAGGTTGGACTTCTCTGGGGGGCAGAGAGGGCCTGAGGGGGGGCTTGGGCAGGGGACCCCCAGCTGGTGACCTCACACAGCCACCCTGTGATGTCACAGCCAGCTCTGTGACATCTCAGCCGCTCTGTGACATCACAGCTGCTCTGTGACCTCACAGCCCACTCTGTGACATCACGGCTGCTCTGTGACATCATAGCCACTCTGTGACATCACAGCCGCTCTGTGACATCACAGCTGTTCCGTGACGTCACAGCCACATGTGACATCACAGCCACCATGTGACATCACAGCTCATTCTATGACATCACATCCGCCCTGTGACATCACAACAGCTCTGTGACGTCACAGCTCACTCTGTGACGTCACAGCAGCTCTGTGACGTCACAGCTTACTCTATGACATCACACTCACTCTGTGACATCACAGCTCACTCTATGACATCACAGCCACTCTGTGACCTCACAGCCACTCTATGACATCACAGCCACTCTATGACATCACAGCTGCTCTGTGACATCATAGCTCACTCTATGACATCACAGCACACTCTGTGACATCACAGCTCATTCTATGACATCACAGCCACTCTGTGACATCACAGCTCATTCTATGACATCACAGCCACCCTGTGACATCACAACAGCTCTGTGACGTCACAGCTGCTCTGTGACATCATAGCCACTCTGTGACATCACAGCTCACTCTATGACATCACAGCCGCTCTGTGACCTCACAGCCACTCTATGACATCACAGCTGCTCTGTGACCTCACAGCTTGCTCTGCCATGCCCCCCCGGTGTCACCTTTGGGCCGGGGGGGACAGGCCCGCTCCAGGCGCATGGGTGCCCCCTCGGCCTGCAGCCCGCGGTGCCCGTAGGTGCCCAGCAGCTCCCGCAGGCTGCAGAACCTCCGCGCCACCCCCGACAGCCACCAGTGCCCGTCCTCATCCCGGCAGATCCGGCACCGCTTGTAATCCCGGCCGGAGCGGGTCTGGGGGGGGAAGCACCGGGGTCAGCACCGGGGGGACCCCCCGGGACCCCCCCAAAATCCTCCTGCCCACCGCGGGTGGCACCGTCCTCGTGTCACCGCCCCGCAGGTGCCAGGGCCATGCTGCCCTCCCCATGCCACGGTCGTGACGCCCCCCAAGCCCCCCCGCCCGGTGTCCCGGGGGTCTCACCTGCACGCACACGGTCAGCAGGTAACTGTCGAAGTCCTGGGGGCTGCGGCGCAGCAGGAACAGCCCCGGGGCGCCCCCGGCCGCCTCCAGCTTGCTCACCGCGAACTCGGCGCTGCCAAGGGCAGGGACGGCCGCGGTGACACTTGGGGACACCCCCTGTGCCCTCCCCCCGTGCCCACCCTATAGGAATGTGCCCCTTGCTGACAGAGTGACAAAACTGTCTTTTGTCTCCTCAAAAAGGAAAAAAAGCCCAGAAGTTTCTCTCCTCAATTAGGTGAAAAGGCATCTTATGGGACCTGGGGAACGTCACCTCAAACTTGAGGATGGCCAGTTGGGCAGGAGCCTAAAAGTCCCGCCTTTAAAAAGTCCCTTCTAGCAATTTACTAGAAAAAGAAGATAACAGAGGAACTAATGGCTTTTGTGAGGTGTTTTACTCAAGAACCTCTGGCACCTGGCTTGTTTTTTCACTGTAAAGTGTTGTTGTTTTGCCTTTTATTACAATTTTTTGTTTCCAATGCTACCACAGAAGCCATCCTGCTGATTTTATATCTTCTAAGGTAGCTCAGCCATCTTAGGTGTGACATAAACCTCCAAGAGCTCGTGAGACCTGCCTCGAGGAGACCCCAATTTCACAACCCCTGTGCCCACCAGCACACCCAGCCAGGGTGAGGGTGACAACCCCGTCCCCAGCTCCTCACAACACACCCAGCCAGGGTGAGGGTGACAACCCCGTCCCCAGCTCCCCGCAGCACACCCAGCCGCCCCGGATCACCTCGGAGCCGCCGCAGCTCCAGGCCACGCCGCCGTCACCGGACACGTGGATGGCGATGGGCGCTGCGGATCCGGGCGAGCGCACGTGGAAAATCTCCTCGCTGCGGTGGCGCTGGAGCCGCTCCAGGTCCAGCAGGTACTTGAGCTTCAGGTGGGGCCCGTCGGCCTGGCAGCCCCCCAGGCGCCGCAGGGATTTGCCGAAGCGGAGCCGGAGGCGCTTGCGGGTGACGAAGTTGTGCTGCTGGATCTGCGAGCGCAGCGGCGCCGGCAGGCACGACTTGTAGCTGAGGGGAGGGGAGTGTCACCGGGGGTGTCACACTGTCACCGGGGGTGTCACACTGTTCCTGGGGGTGTCACACTCTCCCCATGGGTTTCAGGTTGTCCCCAGGGGTGTTGGAGTGTCCCCAGGGGTGTCACACTCTCCCCATGGGTTTCAGGTTGTCCCCAGGGGTGTTGGAGTGTCCCCAGGGGTGTCACACTCTCCCCATGGGTTTCAGGTTGTCCCCAGGGGTGTCGCACTCTTCCCATGGGTTTCAGGTTGTCCCCAGGGGTGTTGGGGTGTCCCCAGGGGTGTCACACTGTCCCCATGGGTTTCAGGTTGTCCCCAGGGGTGTTGGGGTGTCCCCAGGGGTGTCACACTGTCCCCATGGGTTTCAGGCTGTCCCCAGGGTTCTGGGCTGTCCCCAGGGGCATCATACTGTCCCCATGGGTTTCAGGTTGTCCCCATGGGTGTCGCACTCCCCTCATGGGTGTCACACTGTCCCCATGGGTGTCGCACTCTCCCCATGGGTTTCAGGCTGTCCCCATGGGTTTCTGGCTGTCCCCAGGGGGGTCACACTGTCCCCAGGGGTGCCACACTGTCCCCAGGGTTTCAGGCTGTCCCCAGGGGTGCCACACTGTCCCCAGGGGTGTCACAATGTCCCCATGGGTTTCAGGCTGTCCCCATGGGTTTCTGGCTGTCCCCAGGGGGGTCACACTGTCCCCAGGGGGGCCACACTGTCCCCAGGGTTTCCGCCTGGCCCCAGGGGTGCCACACTGTCCCCAGGGGTGTCACAATGTCCCCATGGGTTTCAGGCTGTCCCCATGGGTTTCTGGCTGTCCCCAGGGGGGTCACACTGTCCCCAGGGGTGCCACACTGTCCCCAGGGTTTCAGGCTGTCCCCATCCATGCCGGGCTGTCCCCAGGGGTGCCACACTGTGTCCTGTCTCACCTGACGTGGCTGCAGACCTGCGCGGGGCTCTGCCGCTGCTCCCTGGCGATGCGCAGCATGTCCAGCACGGCCAGGCTCAGGCACTGCTCCTGCGTGGGCAGGCTCAGCCCCACGGCCACGCGGCCCCCGATGAAATCACTGCGGGACTGGGGGGGCACGAGGCTCAGGGGCTCTGAGCATCTCCCGAGACCCCCCCAGACACCCCCGTTTCACCTTCGTGTCCCAGAACCCCCAGGGAGTCACATCCTTCCCAGGCTCTGCTTCCCTGTCTCTGGGGTATGGAGGAGGAGGAGGAGGAAGAAGAAGAAGAAGAAAGAAGAAGAAGAAGAAGAAGGAGAAGGAGAAGGAGAAGGAGAAGGAGAAGGAGAAGGAGAAGGAGAAGGAGAAGGAGAAGGAGAAGGAGAAGGAGAAGGAGAAGGAGAAGGAGAAGGAGAAGGAGAAGGAGAAGGAGAAGGAGAAGGAGAAGGAGAAGGAGAAGGAGAAGGAGAAGGAGAAGGAGAAGGAGAAGGGTCAGAACACCCCAAAAACACCCCTGGCATCATCCTGGTCCCCACAGGCAACAAAGAGAGCCCAGGGGATGATAATGAAGATGATGAAGAGGAGGAGGAGGAGGAGGAGGAGTAGAAGAGGAGGAGAGGGGTCAGAACACCCCAAAACCACCCCCAGCATCATCCCAGTCCCCACAGGTGACAAAGACAGTGCGGGGGATGATGATGATGATGATGAGGGAGAGGAGGAGGCAGGCTGGCAGCCCTCACCTGGGCGAACAGATAATCAATGACAGGGTAATCCAGCACGGGGCTGGCCCAGCCGTTCAGCAGCTGGAAGCGGTGGGACTGTCCCAGTCCGCACCAGTTGGGGAAGAAAAACCTGCCAGGGACAGAGGAGGGGTCTCAGTGCTGCGCCCCCCAGAGAGCACGACCCCAGGAGCTGCCAGGGAATGGGGGGAGCTGCACCTGAGCCTGTACACCACGACCTGGCTGTGGGACTCGTCCACGGTGAACACGTGGTTGGGGGGGAACCAGCAGCTCAGGTCCTCCGTGGCCAGGGCGAAGAGCGGGTGGCACACGGGCAGCACACCTGGGCACCGAGAGAGGCTGGGATCCGAGCCCTGGCCAGGGCTCAGCTCGGGGCTGAGACCCCGCACCCACAGCCAGGATCCCCTGTGGAGGATGTGCTCGGGACCCTGAGCCCATCAGCGGGATCCTGAGCTCACGACTGGACACCAAGTGCACAGCCAGGACACAAACCCCACAGCCAGGACACAAACCCCACAGCCAGGACCCAAACCCCACAGCCAGGAAACAAACCACAGAGCCAGGACACAAACCCCCAGGACCCCATTCCCCCACCCAGGACCCCATCCCCACACCCGGACCCCTCTCCCAGGTGGGTGCCCCGAGCCGCCCGTGCCCGGCGCTCACCGCAGGCCTTGGCAGCGCGCACGCAGAGCTCCTCGGCCGTGTACTCGCCGAAGGTGAAGCTGAGCGTGCCCGCGGCGCTGCCCGGGGCCCGGGGCGGGGCGGGGGCCCGGTGGTACAGGAACACCTGCAGGGTGCCGCTCTCGGCCGACGAGAGGCTGCAGGAGCGGCCCCCGATCAGCGGGGTCTCCTTGCCCAGCGGGGCCATGGCGGGCGCTGCAAGGAAAGGGAGGCTGGGAGTGACCCCCTTGTCCCACCCTCATCATCCTCGCCGCGGTCAAACCCCGCGGCAGCACCCGCAGGGCTGCGATGGGCCCCTCCTGGGAAGGAGGGAGGGGAAACTGAGGCACGCGGTTGGATATCCCCCCCCCTTCCCCAGCCTGTCCTACCCTCCTGGCCGCTCCTCTTCTGCCTCAGTGCTCCCGGTGTGAGCAGGGGGGACCCAGCTCCTCCCCAGCTCCATCCCAGCTCCATCCCCGGCTCCATCCCAGCCCCATTCCGGTTCTGTCCCTGGTTCCATCCCGGTTCCAACCCGGTACTATCCCCACTTCCATCTCTGTTCCATCCCGGTTCCATACCAGCTCCATCCCCGGTTCCATCCCTGCTCCATCCCTCTTCCATCCCAGTTCCATCCTGGGTTCCATCCCGGTTCCATCCCAGTTCCATCCCAGTTCCATCCCCTGTTTCATCCCGGTTTCATCCCGGTTGAACCCCAGTTCCATCCCCGGCCCCATCCCGGTTCCATCCCGGTTCCATCCCGGCCTGGCCCCCTCCCGCAGCCCCCCCGGCACCTCTGCCGTGCCGGGAGCCTCACTGCGGGCCTGGGGAGGGGGTCCCGGAGGGGCTGCGCTGCCAGATCGGGGCTCTGGGGGTGCGTAGGTGGCTGCGAGCGAAGGAGAGATAAAAAATCCCCCGGGGCGACTTCCTTCCTGCCCGAGGCCTCCTGGGCGTGCGGCTTCCTGCCAGGGGAGGGGGGACAACATGCGACACCCCGGGGCACAGCCAGGGCGTGTCCGGAGGGTGAAGGGCTGGAAACCTGGGCACCCTCGGGGACCCCTCTGGGCACCCCCGGGGACACTCTGGGGACCACCGAGGACCCTCTGGGGACCACTGAGGACCCTCTGGTCACCCTCGGGGACCCCTCTGGGCACTCCCGGGCGACCCTCTGGGCACTCCCGGGGACACTCTGGGGACCCCTGGGAACGCTCTGGGCACTCCCGGGGATGCTCTGGGGACCACCAGGGACGCTCTGAGGACCCCCAGGAACCCTCTGGGGACCCCCGAGGATCCTCTGGGAACCCTCTGGGCATCCCTGGGGATCCTCTGGCCATCCCCGGGGTCCCCTCTGGCCACCCCCGGGGTCCCATCTGGCCACCCTCGGGGACCCTCCGGGCACCCCCCGGTGCTGGCGCCGTGGGTACCACAGGCACCGGGGATGCTCTGCCCGGGCAGCTCTGCCACGGGGCTGCCAACCCCCCCGTCCCCCATTGCCCCTCCTGGCCTCGGTCCTGTCCCCGGTGCCACCGCGGGGCTGGGCGTGTGCCAGCCCCGGGCCCGTGCAGTGTCGCACGTCCCCGCCCGGCGGATGTGGCCCAAAGTCGCTGTTTTTTCCCCTGGAGCTGCTCCAAGCCCGGCGAGGAGGCGGCGCCGCAGTGGGGAGGGGAAGGGGTCCTGCCCTGCCCTGTCCCCCCACCGGGGACACTTGGTGGGGACAATGCCACCACCAGGGGTGGAGGCAGGGACAGGGACCCTCGTCTCCCCCTCGGGGACAATTCAGAGGGGGCGGTGGCCCCGTGGTGACACCGGGGAGGGGACGGGGACCTGGCCGTGGTGGATCAGAGGGGACGGGGCCTTCGTGGTGACAGCTGGGAGGGGACAATGACTCCGTGGTGACACCTCGGAGGGGACGGTGCCTTCATGCTGATGGGCTGGAGGGGACAGTGACCTCGTGGTGATGCTGTGTAGGGGACAGTGACCTTGCAGTGACACCTCAGAGGGGACAGTTCCTCCGTGGCCACACCGTGGAGGGCACGGTGCCCCCGTGGTGACACCCTGGAGGGGACTCTTCCCCCTTGGTGACCCCTCGGAGGGGACGGTGACACATCAGAGGCCACACTGCCCGCACAGCAGCTCTGTCCCCACCTCAGGGCTCTTCCCCTGCCCCAACCCCGACCTCACCCGCGGGGTTTGGGACAAGAGCCTGGAAATCCCCAAGCCTGTCCGGACCCGGGCGGGACAAGGTGGCGTTGGTGGCAGGGAATGAGGAAACGGCGCCAGCCCCACGCCCGGTGCCACGTATCCCTCCAGGAGCCACCGTCCTGCCCCGCCACCTCCGCGGCTCAGCGCCGGGGCCCGGAGCTCCGCGGCACCGCGGCCGTCCGGCAGGGAAGGGGTTATTTATGGCCACGGCCGCCCACAGCTCCATCCTCCCCGCCGCGGCTCCCTCCCCGACGGCCTGAACGTGCTGGAGCAGGCCGGGCCCTCGACAGCTCGGGGGACGCGGCAGGGACCCCTCCCCGGGGAGCAGCCCCCGCTCGGCTTCTCGGGCTCGGTGCAGCCGGTCCGTCCCGCTCGGCCGGCAAACAACCTGCTCCTGCTGGGGTAAAGGTTTCTTTCGGGTTTGTTGTTTTTTCCCCTCGGCTGGAGATAAATTTGGCTCCGCCGGAGGCTCTGCCCCTCCTTGTTTGCGCTGCTTTGGGGAGGGGTCTCTCCCTCTCTCGCTCCCGTGTCCCTCCGGGTGCCGACGCTTCCCTGGAGCCGGTGACCCGGGAGGGATCGGGGCAATTCCCCCTCCAAATTCTGGCTGTTCCTCCTCGGACTCTGCCCTTTGGCACCCCTTGGCAAAACCCGCTCCTGGGAAGGGCACAGGGTGGGGCACCAAATCCCGCTGCCCACTCCTGCTTCCCGCTCTGCTCGCCCATTCCAGGGAATTCTCTCTCCCTCCAGTCTCCCTCCTCGGATGCGCCGCTGCCGCCGAGCCCCGGCCTAACCCCGCTCCGAGTCCCACCCTCAGCTGCTCCTTTTGGGGTCCCCCCCGCCCTAAGCGACCATGCCAGCTCCGCAGGGACCCCAGGACGTGCGGGAGCTCACCTTCAGCCCCTGGGATTACGGAGTCTTCGCGCTGATGCTGCTGATCTCCACGGCCATCGGGCTCTTCCACGGGCTGGCCAAGGGCGGCCAGAAAACCTCGGAGGATTTTTTCACGGGCGGCCGGAGGATGTCGGCGCTGCCCGTGGGGTTGTCGCTGTCCGCCAGCTTCATGTCGGCCATCCAGGTGCTGGGGGTGCCGGCCGAGGCGTTCCGCTACGGAGCCAAATTCCTCTGGATGTGCCTGGCGCAGATCATCAACAGCGCGCTCACCGCGCAGCTCTTCCTGCCCGTCTTCTACCGCCTGGGGCTCACCAGCACCTACGAGGTGGGCACGGCGGGGACACGGCGGGGACACGGCGGGGACACGGCTGGGAGGGGTCCCGCGGGTCGGGGGAGGGGACGCAGGGACCCCCAAAATACCAAGGGAGGGGTGAGAGGGGCTGGGAGAGACCGCCCAGCACCCGGGGCAGGGGGTGAGAAGGGTCGGGGGATGCAGGGACCCCCCAGAAACCCCAAGGGAGGGGATGAGAGGGGCTCGGAGAGACGCAGAGACCCCCCAGAATGCCAAGGCAGAGGAAACGGGGTCCCACGTAGCTGCGAGGGGACGCAGGGACCCCCAAAACACCAAGGGAGGGGGTGAAAGGGGATGGGAGAGACCCCCCAGCACCCGGAGCAGGGGGTGAGAAGGGTCGGGGGGATGCAGGGACCCCCAAAACACCAAGGGAGGGGAGGAGAGGTGCTGGGAGAGACTCAGAGACCCCCCAGAAAACCCCAAGGCAGGAGGAGCGGGGTCCCACGGGGCTGCGAGGGGACGCAGAGACCCCCCCCCCGCAAAACCCCAAGCCGGGGGTTCTGGGGGTCCCTCGAGCCCCGCTCAGGGCTCGCTCCGGGGTGGCCCCGGCGCTCTCCTTGTCCTTGTCGCAGTACCTGGAGCGGCGCTTCAGCCGGAGCGTGCGGCTCTGCGGGACCGTGCAGTACGTGGTGGCCACGGTGCGTGCGCGGTGGTCTCGGGGACAGCGCGGGGACAGCGCGGGGCTGGCAGCGGCCCTGCCCCGAGCCCCCGGGGAAGCGGCCTCGGCCCCGTGCTCGTGTTTGGGCTGGCTCGGAGCGAGCGCGGCGCGGCGGGAGCGCTGCTTGCAGAGAAAACCGCGCTGAGCCCCCCGCCGTGGCACCGGCGAGGGGACCCTGAGACCCCTCGAGGACCCTGAGACCACCCCGGGGACCCTGAGCCCCTCCCTGGTCCCTGAGCTCCCCTCGAGACCCTGAGCCCCCCCCTCGAATCCAGAACCTCCCTCGGGTTACTGAGCGCCCCTCGAGACCCTGAGCCCCCCTCTCGGGGCGCTGAACCCCCCCCTTCAGGACCCCGAGTCCTCCCCGGGTCCCTGAGACCCCCCCGGGTCCCTGAGCCCCCCCTGGGGTCCCCGAACCCCCCCGGGTCCTTGAGCCCCCCTGTTCCCGCAGATGTTCTACACCGGGATCGTCATCTACGCCCCCGCCCTGATCCTAAACCAAGGTGTGCGGTGGCGCGGGGGGGTCTCCCCGTCCCTGTGTCCCCCCCCAGGTGACAATTCCCCCCCTCAGCACTGTCCCCTGTCACTGTCACTTCTCCCCCAGTGACCGGGCTGGACATTTGGGCATCGCTGCTGTCCACGGGGGTCATCTGCACCTTCTACACCACCATCGTGAGCGGGGGGGCCGGGGGGTCCCCAGGGGTGTCCCGGGGGGTGTCCCGGAGGGTCCCGGGGTGTCCCGGGCTGTCCTGGGCTGTCCCGGGGGGTATCCCGGGTGTACCGGGGGGTCTCTGGCTGTCCTGAAGGTGTCCTGGAGGTGTCCCGGCCGTCTCTGGCTGTCCCGGGGGGTGTCCTGGGGGTCCTAGTTGTCCTGGGGGCGTTCCGGGGTGTCCCTGGCTGTCACGGGGATGTTCCAGCGGGGGTCCCGGGGTGTTCCGGGGGCTCCCGGGCTGTCCTGGGGGTGTTCTGAGGTGTCCAGGGGGGTCCCGGGAGTGTCCCCGGGGTGTCCCGGGGGTGTCCCGAGCTATCCCTGGCTGTCCCGGGTGTGCCTGACTGTCCCTGGCTGTCCCCGGCGCTGTCCTGGGGGCTGTTCCGGGGGCGGTCCCGGTGGTCCCGGTGGTCCCGGGCCGTCCCGGTGGTCCCGGTGGTCCCGGGCTGTCCCGGTGGTCCCGGTGGTCGGGGTCCGGTCGCTCAGGGCGCTGGCCGTGCCGCAGGGCGGGATGAAGGCTGTCATCTGGACCGACGTGTTCCAGGTGCTGGTGATGCTCGCGGGGTTTGTGGCCATCGCCGTCCGGGGGGCGCTGCTGGCCGGGGGTCCCGCCGAGGTGCTGAGCATCGCCAGCAACGGCTCCAGGCTCAACTTCGCCGAGTGGGTACCCCCAAAATCCCGCGGGACCCCCCCCGACCCTGCCCGGGCATCTGTGGGGTCATCGTGTCCCCCCAAAACCCGCGGGACCCCCCTGCCCTGGGTGTTGTGGGTCACTGTGTCCCCCCCGAACCCCGCGGGACCCCTCTGCCCCTGCCCTGGGATCTGGGGTGTCACTGTGTCCCCCGAACCCGCGGGACCTCCCTGACCCTGCTCTGGGATCTCTGAGGTCGCTCCCAGCCCTTCACCCCCCCTCCCAGGGATCTGTGGGGTCACTCCCAGCCCCCATCCCCCTGTGCTGAGTTCTGGGCTCATCCCCAGCCCCTCCCGGGTTCTGGGCTCACCCCCAGCCCCTCCCCGGGACCTCTGGGCTCATCCCCAGCCCCTCCCCGGGACCTCTGGGTTCACCCCCAGCTCCTCCCAGGATCTCTGGGCTCACCCCCAGTCCCTCCCGGGTTCTGGGCTCACCCCCAGTCCCTCCCGGGTTCTGGGCTCACCCCCAGCCCCTCCCGGATTCTGGGCTCACCCCCAGCCCCCCCGGGGTCGGTGCCATGCCGTGCCCCGGGCCGTGCCCAGTTTCAGCCCGGACCCGCGCCGCCGGTACACGGTGTGGACGTTCGTGCTGGGCGGGACGCTGCTCTGGCTCTCCATGTACGGCGTCAACCAGGCGCAGGTGCAGCGCTACGTGGCCTGCCGGAGCGAGAGGGAGGCCAAGATGTGAGTGCGGACCCCCTCGGGGTCACCGGGACCCCCGGGAACCCTCCGGACCCCCTCGGCATCCCCAGGGATCGCTGGGAACCCTCTGGACTCCTTCGGGATCCCCGGGAACCCTCCAAAACCCTCCCGAGGTCCCGGGAACTCTCCGGGTCCCGTGCTGGGGGTCGCAGAGGGGAGGGGAAGATCTGGCGGGGGGGT